GACCTCTCTCTTTCTCTCTCTCTCTCTCTCTCTCTCTCTCTCTCTCTCTGGCGTTCCTGAAAAACGTTCCCGTCTTGCTCTGTTTCACATCTGCACTAAATCAAACATGTGGGTGAGGTAATGTTCGCCCGACCGACAACTCCTGACTCCCGTTTTAACTTAAAAAAGGGATTAAAAAACAAAACTGTCTGTTTTAGGACGAGTTTGAGAATTCTTCCTCATTCTTCTCCTTTTTTACCTCATGCATCTCCATCTTGGAAGAGAGGAGCCCATGAGACACTTCCTTGGGATGGTTTTTGATAAATCATCAGATACTGCAGGTTCAGTGTGGTGGCAGACTACTGTATGTAAGCTGTCAGGGGGGAAGCTGATTAAATCACTGTTGTTGTTAATACAATAGATCAGTGTTTTAGATTCAGTCGCCTCAGACTGCCCCGCTGTCTGACCAGACCATAATTAGTGTTTGCTTATACTACACACACCCTCCTTGTGGGGTTAATTTGCATGCACTTCCTGGTCAAAGGACACAGAAGCTCTTTTAAAATTTAGTTTTTTGGGGAAGGGCGCTCCAAACTTTCCCTCCTGTGATTCCAGCGAGTTGTGACTCAGTTGCTGGATGTTTGGAATCTTTTTTTCTGTCTGAAGCGGAAGTGTGGAAGCAATGAGCTTTAATGGGAAACAGAGGACAGTCGTGTCTGCAGGGACTGAGCTCAGCAGATTCCTCATGTCGATCATGTTGCATGTAATCGTCTTAGCAAACAGAGACAGATAGATTAAACCGATTGACAGAAGCTTGTCCTAAACTTTTCGGCCTACAAGCTTCTGAAAAAGGCATGTTCTGCAATAAACACAACCAGTTTTAGAGTTTTGAGCAGTCCAGGGTTCATTCCTCAGGGTAGACACGATCAGTGTTCCTGTTTTATTCTTCCGATTCCCTCAAGCTGTGGCTCAATTTCTTTCTTTTCATCATAAACTCGTCAAACAAGTGAGCCCGCTCCTGATTGGCAGGTTTCTCTTCAATCTCTGCAGCCATTGGCTAACCGAGCAGCAAGTCTCTCTCTCTCTCCCTCTCTCTCTCTCTCTCTCTCTCTCTCTCTCTCTCTCTCTCTCTCTCTCTCCCTCTCTCTCTCTCTCTCTCTCTCTCTCTCTCTCTCTCTCTCTCTCTCTCTCTCTCTTGGCTTTGCTCCAGGTTAGAGTGGTTTGGCATGACAATTAATAAAGAAAAGAATGCTGACAACAGGACTGACTTACCAGGTGTGGCTGCAAGTCTGTTACCCAGAAACAAGGCCGTCCTGACAGATCGGGATGAGGAAGTTAGAAACAAACAAGAACAAAAGGTGTACTCTAAGTTAGACTGACTGGTTGCAATAGAAACCGATAACCTTTTATGGATTATGAATAATGGAAGTGTGATTGTGGCATAAAGAAGATCCTGAAATATAGTTTTTAATCCTCCGCATCAACACACTCACGTGCCAGACAAGGTAATTAACACCCAAAGAGACTCTCGCTGAAGCTCCCACCCCCCGTGTGTGAGAACAGATATTATTAAACAAGGACTGCGTGTTGATCCAGCCTTGTGGAGACCTTGTGTGGAGTGGACTCCTGCTGCCCCGGCTCCATCCTTCCTACCTGTCTGCTGTTTTCACTCTGAGCCGACGTAAACTTTTCTGAAAACTGAGAGCCTTCCGCTGTTAAATGCTGCCTGTTTGTGCCTCCTGTGTACCATGCTAGCTGGAAGTGCTACTGTGAGCTAGTTGGCAGTGGTGTGTGAAGAATGTGCTGACATGCCGGTGCACACACACTGACGTAAGCGTGCAAACACACTCTCATGCACGCTCCAGCGTGCACTTAGCCTTGCAAGTTGTTGATATGCGACATGAAAATGTGTCAAAGGCGCATCGTTGGCTGGTCAGCATTAGCAGCTTGCACTCAACAGTAGTAAACCACCTCTCCCCCTTCCTTTGCCCGCTTGCTCCTGGGTTATTGTACACATTCTGAGCCGTATCCCGATGAATGACCTCCTCGTGACCCCCCTCTAACCCTGGCTTTAATTATTTGTTTGAAGACAGCATGGAGTTCCCATGCTGAGAGGTACTCTGTGTACTGTGTGTGCATGTGTGTGTGTGTTGGGGTTTCTGTGCGCTAACACTGAGCAGAGGCAGGTCATAATAAGCTAGACCACCAGATGTAGATAATAAAACATGAGCTTTGGGCTGGAGGTTTGAAGCCAGCGTCCCCCCGAGCCTCCAGCGTTCTGGTTAGCCCTCGGTCACTCTGGCGGTAGCTGTGGTCATGTCCACGGTGGCGATGGGTAGATTTACGGTGCATATGTATGTTTTAGCAAGTCGTTTAGGAATTCTCAGTCCTTGCGGTCAACCTTTGTGTCTCTCCAGGGGCTTTGGGTCCATCCATCTGACTGTCCATCTGCACTGACTTGCCTTCACCTCTGGAGGATTCCTGCTGTTGTTGTTCTAAGCACACTCCATTAGCAGCTCACGGGTTGAGGGAAAACATTGTTATCAAGCCTGGCTCTGATAATCTCAATTGGCTTTACTCAGACTGATAAAAGGTGCTTTAAGGCCATGAAAAGGGCCCTCTGGTCACCCTCCACTACCTCCAGTGCATCTCATTGCCTGCTTGCTGCTGTGACAACTTGTTTAGCTTGGAAAATCTGCACTTTGGTGACTTGGTGGTGTGAAATGGCACCAATTAGCAAATGGAAAATGCTGATTTTTGGAGAAACATCTAACTCCTCAGTGTAACTGGTACTGGCATTATCTGGTTATGCAAAAACATCAGTTAAAGGCAATATTCAGTATGTGTTATTGGGATTGCAGATGTACATATCTTTGTGTACCTTAGTTGCATAGTTCTGGAAACCCAAGTTTCCTTTTATTCATTTATTTTAGCGGCTGAATGTTACTATAGTAGCTTATTGCCTTTATGTGTTTTCCTGTAAATTAGCTATTATTTTTCTTCCTACTTTTCTTTAAGTTTATGTGCTGCTGTAGCAAGTGGATTGCCCCACTGTGGCATTACTAAAGTCTATTCTATTCTATTCTATTCTATTCTAAATCCTTATACACAGCAATGGAATTTTTCATACTAAGAAAAGACCATTTAATTTAGTGCAAACAGGCTAAATATCTTCCAGGATACTTAAGGTTGAACTTTTTCAATAAATAGTTAGAAAAAATATGATGAGAAACAGTTTCTAAGTTTAAAAAAAAAGTCAGAAAGTGGCATTTATAATACTTTTTGCACCTAAAACGATGTGTTTATGGTGGTGACACCGTATGAGTGGTTGTGATTTTCAGACCCTTGCATCCAGGACAAAACTAAAGAATGCACTTTGTGCTCAAGAGGAAGCCAAAACTAGAAATGCATTTTTGTTGACTTGCTCAGCTGGTTTTCAAGCTGGAACTGTTTATCTCCTCTAAACTCTGCAGGAATTTCTGACAGCAAAGCAGTCTGACAATAATTTCTCCCATTGTTCAGTTAATAAAAACATTATCCTCAATTCTCTCTTAAATTGCAATCCGTGCTCTGCAATCCTGTGATTTTTAATTTGGCTCTCGTTCACCTCCTGCCCTCCTCTTTAATTTTCCTATATTTTCACATGGATGTGTTTCATCTTATTCTCTCGGGGGCCCGCTGCACCCCTACGTACCTGCACTCTGGATGCCCCCTGGCAAATGAGTGCCGCGTCTCTCTCTCTCTCTCTCTCTCTCTCTCTCTCTCTCTCTCTCTCTCTCTCTCTCTCTCTCTCTCTCTCTCTCTCTCTCTTTTCCCAGCCGTGCATTTTGTACGTTTAACCATGTCTCTTTGAGCGGGGCAGATTACAGCCGTTTAAGTTCATTGGAGAAGGTAAGGGCAGGTATCAGGGCTTCATGGGGGATTAGGAGCCCAAATTGGTTCCAGCTCTCCCTTCCTTCTAATGACCAGTTCCTTGGCCATATTGATGGTGCCGTGGGCCTGAACGTAAGAGGAGGGAGGTGTAGCTTTTTTCTTTTTCCCTTCTTTTTTTTTTCCTCTGGAACCGGCATGCTGGACAGCTCCAACGTGATTTGAAACCCTTGTTTAATGTCAACCACATGGTGGTACCTGTAAACGCAGGTTTTCAAAAGCGAGCAAAAGAATTAGCCAAAAAATAAAAATAAAAATTGAGTGCTAGCTCCGCTTGAGTGGCCAGCTTGACACGGCCCAAGACATGCTATTCCGAGTTAAAAAGGTTGCCCCTGGCTGGCACTAACCTCCCGATGACCTCCGGCTCGACACTGGAAAAGCCACAGGAGCGAGCCTTGCTGGGGAGGCTTTGTGGAGCTGCGCTCATTCGTTGCTGTGGCGGTGATAAAACTTCAGACAGCCTAATTGATGGGCTCACTGACATAACAATACCTCGTGAAAGCACGGAGTGGCCCATGCCTGGTCCTCATTTCTGGACAGCTGGAAGGGGAGCAGAACCCCCTACAATGCGACCAGAGGGGAAGGGGTCCCACTGAGGCAAAGGGGGGGGTAGAGATGTTAGGATGCAATGAAAGGAACTATTTGTGTCCTGCACTTTGAAGCCGTGATGGATAATAACTGCAAAAATAATGTTTTGGAGAGTAAAGTTGCTGCGAGAAAGAGGGAAAAGAGCTGTGCCCGAGCTCCTGTGCCCAAGCTGCACTTAATACTTGAGGAATGTCTTCCCGGTGCCCATAGCAACGGAACGTAATCAAAAGCTTTATTAAAAGAGGGGGGAATAGATCATATGGAACATTAAAAGTATCCCTCACTGGGTTCTGGAGTCAGCACACAATCGGCCTTTTGTTGGTTTCTGTTTTGTTGTGTGTGCTTCTCTCGGGGACTCTGTGGCTAATGTTGCCATTAAGTCACGCACAACTGTTTGTCTTTGTTGAGGCTTGTGATGAATCTTGTTTTATGTGTGAATGCTGTGTGATTTAACATTTGTTTATTCCCTCTCTTCTTTTTTCCCATCTCTCCCTCTGTTCTAGGTTTATTAACGCCAGGAGAAGAATAGTACAGCCCATGATTGACCAGTCGAACCGAGCAGGTAAAAAAACAAAGAAAAAGCAGAACATTCCAGCCAATCTACATGTGACTGTTTTTGTTCCCCACTCATGAAGACATCTTTAAATCCTTTCATAGCTGGCACGTCATGCCTGGAGCCCAGAACCCCTCTATCTTGAAAAGCCCTTCTTCTCCCTCCTCTTCCTCCGCCTCTCTTCACTCCCCTTTCCATGTTCCCTTCAGTGTGATGCTCTGCAGTGTTGCAAGCTGTTTGCTGATCAACTCTAATTGGAGATTTCCCAGTCTAAGTGGAGAGAGTGGTATATTAGTGCTCTGTGAATTACTAATTGGACACAAGGGGTGTGCTGGAGATGCTAGCAGCAGTTTATGATTTATCTCTTTTTTTAGTCAGTTTTGTTTTTCATTTTCTCCAGATTAGGGTTGGAGGGGTTACTCTTTTAATTTTTATTTTTTTTAGCTGCATTTGTATTTCAACCCCCCAAGTCACTGCTCCAAATTATTGTCTAAACTATCTGTTCAGCAGATTTCACATATCAGAAAATCCACAAGGTTACTCAATCAGCAATATTCTTTTTTAGCGATGCACACAACGCTTAAGAGGGAGAATGAGCACCAAATTATAGAAAAACTGAACCAATACACTGGATTTAAAGAGCAAGTTCACTGAAAAACCTTTTTTTTCTTGTTATTTCTACAAATATGAGTTTTACATGCAGGCTAAACGTGAAAATTGTCTTCTACACCGATTTCCTGCATTAGAAAATGATAGAAAATAGACTGGGAAATGCTCGGATTAGAAAAGCCAGTCAGATCTGCGTCACATTGAAAGTTAGCATTCACTGACTCACTTTTCTTGACTCACAACTGGGGAGGCCTGTTGTTGGTTTAGTGTCCAGGAGAGAGCAGAGTACGTCCTGCTAGGAGAAGCTTACCATTAGCATTAGCAACTCTACATCATGGCAGATCTCCTTCAGGCTTGTGTTATTTGTGGAGATAAAACATCAGCGCTGCAGAGCAAACAAAGACTGTTGAAGAGTTGTGTTGCTGTAAGCCAATCAGAGTCAATCATGTCAGAATATCAGGATATAAGACTCAAACCCTGCGATGCTCTACTCTCATCTCCTCTGCTCCAACTCCCTTCTACTTCCTGAAACAGCCAGAGCTTTTTTCCCACACAGAGATTGACTCACACGGCATTAATTTATACTTGAGACCACTGACAACACGTTGAAAAAGCTAGTGAAAGTGGTCTTTAACATCAATCTATCAAAAAAAAGCAGATATTGTGAAGAAAATACAAAACTCTGTCATCAATTCTTAGCTTCATTGACCATGACTTTGCAAGTCAAGATAAAACAAAAAAGACAAAATGAGTACTTTGAATGATCGAAAAGAAAGAAGCAGATGTTTTTGTTCATTAGAAAGCCCGCCATCTTTTTAAAAGATCCATACTCACTGGGGTGGAGATTGTTCACCAATACACGAGTCAAGATTAAACTGAGATGCAGCAGCAAGCACTGACAACTCTTTGCTCATTTTTCCTTGTGAAATATTTGACAGCAAACATCCAGCGAGTGCCAATCAGCAATCCCTGCAAACACAGATTGACTAACATCTCCCTGTTTTCTTAAAAACACACAGATTATCTATGATTATGTCGTTATATTCCTAGAATACACACATGTTGGTTCAGTAAGTTTAATGATGAGCCAAACCAGGTATGACTGGAACAATCTGATTGATTTTGAGGTGTGAGATTACATAAATCAATCATTTTTGGAGATTAAAACAGATTGAAGCTAACTTTTAAAAAAAATATTAGATTTCCATCAATATCCCAGAAATTATTCTCATCCTTTCTAACTGCATGTTATCTTTGGTTGTGATCTGGAGAACAGTGTGTCTCCTGTGCACGTGGTTTTGAATGGCATTGGCTGTGTGTGTGTGTGTGTGTGTGTGTGTGTGTGTGTGTGTGTGTGTGTGTGTGTGTGTGTGTGTGTGTGTGTGTGTGTGTGTGTGCTTGCATTGCATGCATAAGGACCTACTGTATGCGTGTTTGCATGCCACGTGTCAGTCAATGCGGTCCACAAACACAGGCACAATGTCTTACAGTATGTTTGGGCTGGAGCTGAGACAATTGCTGATTGTCTGGTGTGTTCTCTTTTCTTCTCCTCCTCCCCCTCCCCTTTTTCATGTCCACGTTTTGACTACAATCAGGTTTTCTTCTTGATCCTTCAGTGAGTCAAGGAGCAGCGTACAGTCCAGAGGGCCAGCCGATGGGCAGCTTCGTGCTGGATGGTCAGCAGCACATGGGGATCCGACCAGCTGGTAAATGCATCCACCTCTTGTCACTGCTTCACCCCCTCTTAGGACTACCAATACCCTGGCTTTACCACCACACAGCTGACCCTCTCTAGCTACCTCTGCATGAAGAAGATCCCTAACTGCACCAAAAAGCACCACTTGCCTGCTTTTTATAAGACCTAACAAATGGGGAAATTCTTTAGGAATTTCTGTATAAAAACATTCCTTTTACCTCGTTTTCCACCTGAAACTAACTTCTTCTCCTTCACCTTTGGGTCTTCTTCCACCTTTCTGTGTTCCAAACTCCTGCTGATTCCTTTTCTGGCATTTATCTCTTGTCTCTAGGGCCTATGAGTGGAATGGGGATGAATATGGGCATGGATGGGCAATGGCACTACATGTAACCTCCATCTTGTAACGCAAAGAAAAAGGGGGAAGTAAGTACTAGGAATTGTTTTTTTTTTCATGTTTTTGGGGCTCAAGTTTTTTATTTTTGTTGTTGTTCTGCTGATCCCCACCCTGGGCGTAATTTCACAGCAAGATCTCACCACCCTGCCCCCCCACCCCCACCCCCACAGCAACAGCTCTAAGGTAGCCTTCAGGGCAAGAAGCTTTAAGGGTCGAGGTGGGAGGGCCAAGGATGAATTGGAGGTTTGTGAAGAAGTGGGAACCATCCTGGGACAGAGAGGACCCGACTTGTGGCGCCAGACAAGAGAAACAACAACAGGGGTAGAAACAACTCGGCGTGGCATGCTGAAATTTATTTATCACAACAGCGCCATCGCTCTCCCCCCATCGTGGACAGCCAATGCAAATGGTGGACATTTAGGGAAAAAATAACATCTCCTGGGGAAGGGGCTGACAGGGGGAAATTAAGCAGGCTCCAGTGAAGCGATAAAGAAGGAGAAGTGAAACTGTCCTCCGAGTGACATAAATCTGTCTGGGGAAGGATTGATGCCCAAATTATCTTATATGCAAAGACGGGAGCACCGCAGTACATTACGGTCCCCGAGCTAGATATACGGACCGAGGGTGAGACGGTCGATCCGTCAATGGGGATTTGGTTTGAGATGGTAGGAATGAGTGTATGTGTGTGTGTGTTGGGGGGGGGGTTGTTTTGATTATTTTTTACTGGAGGGAGACGATTTAAGGGAGGCCAGCGACAAGCTTGACCTGGGACTTAAAGACAAGAGACACCCAGTATACGGTTATAACCCATTCTCTGTCCGAAACAAGGGGATCTCTTTAACATTTCTGGTGTTGCTGTTTTGCACCCAGACGCTAACACCCCCCACCACCAGAGCTGCAGAACGACTGAGCCGGCCATTTCGTCACAGTGCTGACATTTGAAAAATCGAGACATATCACATCCCAGAGGAGATTTTATTTAACACCTAAACTCCCTATGCCCAATGAGGCACAATATAATAACACTTACCTTGATTAAAAGAACCCTTTATATGTAAATGGAGGCTGGATTTACGGAAGGGTCACGGCGGCAATTCTTCCGACAGAGATCATTTCACCCTTCTGGTCCACGCTCGCTTCCGTCTCCTTTGGTCTCGTCCTCGCTCGTCTCTGCTAATGGCCACTGGAAGGAAAAAGAAGGGGGGAAAAAAGGGAAAATCAGGAAGCAATGTTCCCTAAAACAGCCACACAGAGACAACATTTGCTCAGGTTGGCTAATTCTTAATATACGCCTATATAATTTTCAGACTATTTAATTACGTAACATACTTTCTGCTTCATGACCAATTATATTAATAGCTTAATACAGAGGAATATTATCCTCTCTTGATTTGATTACACAGCCACACAATATGGTATATTTGGTACTTAATTATGGCCAACCATTGAGCAGGACTGCTGTGCCATAACCGAAACGCACGGCCGGCTGTGGGGAGTCAGGCATGCAGAGAGGGGCTCGGTTCGTCCCCGGTTATTGTCTCGATGGTTTTACCACGCTTGTTAATAAAGGAGAGCGAGAGGGAGTGGCTCTCAGATGTGGTTAATGGAATGACTGCAGCACACACGACGACAGATCACCAGTTTACAGTGTCGAAAAACATCTGCTGGGCCCTTTAACTCCAGGTTACAAGGAGGTGAGGGCGCTGAAGAATTTATTTTCATTACAACCCCAGAGGTGAGGTTTTAGCCTCTGATAAACATTAGCATTTCAAACAAACTGACGTGGAAAAGGAGAATTAGAAAATGGCTCAGCTTAGTTGGACCGGTCATTAATCTTGGCCTTCGCTGTCCCTCTTTCCTTTCCCTTGGTCTTCCCCCCTGCCTCCCTCACCGGAGCCCTCCAGTGTAATTTCTTAATTGCGGCATGCTAAGGTGGAGGAATGCAGGGAGTGAGCATGCCCAGTGACCTCGCAGCAACCTCTCCCCTCCTATTACAGCTTCTAATCCCTCTGGGGTTCACATTACAAAGAGCTCAGATCCAATCCCAGGCCGAGGTCCCCTGGCTTCCACTGGACCTCCTGCTCACTAGTTCCTCCCATCCACATACATATATATGGACAATGGGTTTCCATAGACTCCAATAATATGTTTTTGAGTTAAAATGGGAGGTGGCCACCACCGCCATTTTGACCGTGTCACAGGTTCCGTCAAGCCCAGGCAATTCCACAAAAGGGAAGAGAGGTGGACCTGAGGGTGGGGCTGTAAGGCTGGGATCAAATGACGACACCCGTCGAACTGAAGCTAATGTAGCTACAAGCTAACCTGAAGCTAACCCAAAGCTAACACGGAGGTGGGAGCTAAGCTAACGGAGGTAGCAACCTAGCTACAACCAGAGTTAACTGTGCACAACACCAGAGCTTCTGAGTCAGAGATACGCCGGGCTGACCGCTGGGTAAAACTGGGTGGAACACAGAGGTCTCCGAGACCTCCACAAGCCGGCAGCCGCACAGCAGACAAGCGCCGCGGTGATCAGAGATGCGCAGAGCTGCGGGGAGGGGACCATACCGATAGTCGGAACCCAGCTCCACCAACATGTTATATTTCAACCCATTTTCTAAAATGCAGCGTCATGTTAAATGCACTGGGCTTTACCCTATTACGTTAAAATTTCATGGTTAAATAGTACATGTTAAAATCCAAGCTCAGATAGTGCAAGAGCGGCAGTGACCTAAAATCATCGACATAAATACATAAATATAATTTTACTTAGCAAAACAAAAATGAAGTGGAGACTCCTTGGACGCTCTATTAGTGCAATTAATACCACAGCAAGTCATTTTGTCCAACAATTGCACAAATAATATCCAAAAAAAAAATACACAAGCGCTACAACTTGTCAAAGTTCAGAGACTAAAAATCGTGGAACAGTTTCCAAGCCAGGCTGAGGCTCAGACTGAGGTCTTTCCACGGAGCTAGCTCTGTGGTCACGTGGGTCTGATGCTCATTAATTAGTCAGAATTTTACGCTTTTAATACACTTAACCAGAAGAGTGACAAAAAATTCACCCCCCTCAGAGTTGTCATGAGTGTAAACTAGGTCAATTAAATCAAAAACATGTTTGGAACCAGGCTGTAAACGTGTTTATTTCTGCTGTGAAATTGGTATTTTTAACATGGGAGTCAATGAGGATTTGCTCGCTTCTGACACCAGCCCCCAGTGGATGAGGGTGGAACTGCAATTTATTTCACTTCCGCATTGGCCTCACTTTCAGACCCGCATTGTGGGGGCTTGGTTCCTCCCTGAGGTCCAGGCCTTCAGACCAGTCATGTTGTCAGACTCCAGGCCCAGGCTTTAAGATCACACCCCCTCCCCCTCAGCACCACATCTCGCTCTTTTCTTTCTGATTACAACAAACAGTGATGCGAAAAGCCAAACAGAGGCACTGCTGAGCCTGCTCTGAGTCCTGGGTTCCTTCACAGCGTGAGGGATGCCAGCATGCTGAGGTTTCCACACATATGGAGTGGAGTCCACCTTAAGGGACACCTCCTTCTTTCCCCTTTCTTTTCTCTCCCTACTCCCTTTCATCTTTGTTGCTTTGTTTTGCAGCTGTTTCCTGCTCTTGTGACGGAGGTTTAAAATTCCCCTCATTCACCTGAAGGAAGCTAGGCCTCGACGTTCCCTGTCTTGCCGTTTCCGACTATCCAATAGCTAAATTATTTAAACTGCTTTTTTAAGGGGTTCTAAATCAAATGTGTTCACAGAGGCACTTTCCCCAGGAGAGAAACGCCTGTTTGGTTTGTCGCTGCACTTCAGCTGGGGAATTGACTGTTCCACTTGTAAAAGTATTAGCACTTCTCCGCATCGATATTCCTGCTTGGTTTTCCTCCCATCCTCCAGGACTCCACTGTCTGTGGACGACCGGGGATCATTTTCCGACCTGAGACCTGACCACAACGCTACTGGGCATTGTAAACCACTCACCGTGGCCTAAAATAGCCCGGTGCAATAATGTCTCACTTTACTTGCAGAAGCTAAAAGCTCTGCAGTCACACACACACACACATGCTCTGTCATAAAGTCTGCTAAGCTCTCTGTTGGTGAAGTTGAGTTTAAATTGAATTAAGGGCCTGTTAATGGAGAAGGAACATGTCAAAGCTGCAGTTTTATTGACTCAGTGAATACATCAGTCTAACCCTCGTCTTCCTCTCAGGTCTGCCAGTCATGCCGGGGGAGTTTGTACCTCAGAGCAGTCCTATGGGCATGAGCATGGCCCCACCCACGTACCCCAACCTTCATCAGATGCCTCCTCATCACCGACCCCCTCTCCACCCCTACCTACCGGATCACCCTCACCCTCATCCCACCATGCTGATGCACGGAGGACCCTCGTTGCATCCAGGAATGACCACGTCTGCACAGAGACCCCCTTTTATCCCAGTACTGGAGGACAAGGCCTGGACATCCATGCCCAATAGTAAAGGGAACTTTGCTACCACCACAACAGCAGCGACAACAAGAAACACTTTGTTTTAAAAAAAAGGAAGCAGCCCACATTAAATCCTATTTTGAGACTATTTTTAAGAAGAAAAACAAACCCTTTTGACCAGAATTTGACACTAAACAAACAGAATTCCAGATGAGCTGTGATTCTTCTTCTTTTTTAAAAAAAGAAAAAAAAAACTTGTCAATTTTGTTACTTTAATCCAAACAGAGGACCAAGCTGACAAGAACACTTTGTAAAGTCTTGGGCTTTTTTTTTTCTAACAGCGGCTGTTTAAACGTGTGCACAGACTGGATAGATGCACACGCTCAAACACACAAACACACACACACACACACACACACACACACACACACACACACACACACACACACATCACACTCGACATCATCATAAACACTTTCATGTGACACACTCTTTTAAAGTAATATCACTCTGGAAGACTGAAAAAAAGAAACACCAGAAAGACTCCAAGAGTTATAACTACTGTAGTATAAAAGTATAGATAAATAAGTTAAAACTTGTGCTTTTTTTTATTTTTTATTTTATTTTTGGGGGGGTCACACCTTTTATGTTTCCTGAGCTAGTTTTAGAATGAACCCTTCTCTCTCTCACACTGTGTGTGCTCCTTCCTGGAGGAAGAAACTGTCTCGCAGCACAGCACTAAAAAAATAAATATTAAAAAGGAGAAAAAACAATGAGAATATGGAACATCTCAAAAAGGCTTCAAACCACAGAGGGGCAATCAGGTCCTATCCCCCCAAAAGAGCAGGGCACGATGGGAAAAGGCTGCTAAAGGACAACCGATTGCTCCAGAAGATTCAGTTTGAACATTTTTCACACCCCTCTACTTTTTTTTCAGTTCATGAATGAATGTTTGCCCTGTAGGTTTGAAAGAAAAAAATCTTTCTTTGACTTGCCCAAGCACTGGATTGTGTTGGTTTTATACATTTTAAATTTTTTTTCTTACCTTGGACTCTCATTGGGTTAGAGCCGCCTGAAGGAAGCTCGACAGATGAGAAGCAACATCCTGCAGAGCTTCTTCACCTGCAGATCAACACACTTGCCATAAGGACAGATACTGACACAAACGTTGATTCTGCAGCGATGGAGAAGCATTTGATGGTTGATGCACCAAAAAAAAAAAAACTAAACAGAAAAAAAAACACTTAAATTATGAACTCAATGCTTTTGGGAGAGAAAACGAAAAGCTGAGAGAATATTGTAACAAACTTCGTACAGAGTTCAGTCTATTAATTGTTTCATGTTAGATATTCTATGTGTTTACCTCAATTGAAAAAGAATGTTTTGCTAGTTTCAGATCTGCTGTGGCATTGATATTGTATGTCCATGAATTCCTTCCTTTTTCAGCACGTGTTCCTCACTAGATGATAAGATGCCGTCTCCCTTAAGCTTTGTCAAAATTACATTAAATACGTGTATGAGGACTGTGACGTAATGTTTAAAAGGTGTTCAGTCACAAATGCTGTAATAAATATTTTCATTTTGATTTTTGTTAGATTTTTGTGTGATTAACTGTGTTAAGTCGTAACCCACCCCCTCCACCCCTACATTTTAACAGAAACTCATTTTAATTATTGTTGG